TTGCATGCGTGAGGCCCTGGGTTCGATTCCTCAGCACCACATAAGCAAAAAGAAAAAAGCCGGAAGTGGCACTGTGGCTCAAGCAGTAGAGCACTAGCCTTGAGCTGAAGAGCTGAGGGACAGCGCCCAGGCCCAGAGTTCAGGCCCCACGACCGGACCCAAAAACAAAACCTGTTGGGGCAGGAAAATCCGTGAGACTCTTATCTCCAATGAACCACCAAAATGCCAGAAGTGGAAATGTGAGTCAAGTGGTAGAACACCATCCTTGAGCAAAAAGCCAAGCAAAGCTGAGCATTGGTGGCTCACACCTCTAAAGCTAGGGACTTAGGAAACAGATTTGGGGATTGAGGTTCAAAGCCAGCCTGAGTGGCAAAGTTCGTAAGACTCTTACCTCCAATGAAACACCAGAAAACCGGAAGTTAAGCTGTGTCTCAAAGTGGCAAAGCACTAGCCAAAAGTTCAGGGACAGGGTCTAGGCCCTGAGTTCAAGACTCAGAACTGCCCCCACCCCTGGAAATCCAAGTAATTACAAATCCCAGTAACAGCAGCACAAACAAACAGTACATAAATAACAAAGTGGGATCTTCAGCTTGGACATTGGGACCAAGTGATGGGCTACCAGGAACCAGGCCCTACTTCCTATCTCTTTCCCCTGGGCCCAGACCCTTTGCCAGCTCTGTTCCTCCTAGAAGTGGCCAGATGGGTGGCCCAGTGATGCTGACCTCCGCCTGCTGCCATCCAGGGACTTGTGGGGTCCCAAGTGCCCCAGACAGCCCAGTCCCTGTTGGCAACATGGTCTGCTTTCCTCTGCCTCGTGGAGGTTCTGGGCCGCGGTGGGCACAAAGGAGGACTGGGGCCAGGCACCAGTGGCTCACGCCTATCATCCTAGCTATTCAGGAGGCTGAGATCTGAGGATCACGTTCAAATCCAGCCTGGGCAGGAAAGTCTGTGAGACTTTTGTCTCCAATGAACCACCAGAAAACCAGAAGTGGCACTGTGGCTCAAGTGGTAGAGCGCTAGCCTTAAGCTGAAGAGTTTAGGGACAGCGCCCAGGCAGAGTTCAAGACCCAGGACTGACAGGAAAAAAAGAAAGAAAGAAAAGGACTGGGCCCCCAGAGCAGAGGTTCCCCACCTGGCCCTGTGAGTGGTGGCAGACATGCTCACTGTGCCCCCCTCTTTTCTACCCCCCCCACAGCAGCCACAAGCTGGCATGCAATGGCAGCTGCTTCCTGACACCAGGCAGTTAGACCACAGCAGCTTCGGATATGCCCCTCCCCTCTCCTGCTTGCCTCTGGATCCTGGCAGGGTTGGCGAGTGGGTGGGTGGGGTCCCTGGAGTTGACTTCCCTAGACATGGCCTCAGTGGGACTACAGCAGCCCTAGATCAGGGCTGGATGGGATAAATTGGCTTTTGGTCTTGCTGCCAGCCCTGGAAGAGGGTCCTAGATGGTGGGTGTTGTGGTTGAACTCGGGCCTCCTGTTTATTAGGCAGGTGCTCTACTGCTGAGCTATGCCTCTGGCCCCTGGTTTTTGTTTCCTGCTGGTCCCAGGGCTTGAACCCTGGGCTTGGGCACTGTCCCTCAGCTCCTTTTTGGTCAAAGCTAGCTCTCTACCACTTGAACCACAGTGCCACTTCTGACTTTATTTTTTTCTGTGACTAATTGGAGATAAGTCTCATGGACTTTCCTGCCCAGGATGGCTTCGAAACACAATCCTCAGATCTCAGCCTCCTGAGAAGCTAGGATTACAGGCGTGAGCCCTGGGTTCCTGGCAAGGCTGGCTCTTTTTTTTTTTTTTTTTGCCTGTCCTGGGGCCTGAACTCAGCACCTGGGCATTGTCCCCAAGCTTTTGCTGAAAGCTAGCACTCTACCACTTGAGCCACAGTACCACTTCCGGCCTTTTCTGTTTATGTGGTGCTGAGGAATGGAACCCAGGGCCTCATGCATGCGAGGCAAGCGCTCTACCACGGAGCCACCTTCCCAGCCCCAACGGCTCCTGTTTTTGAGTAAGACAAGCTGGGTGCAGCGTGTCATGGGATCCTTTCCTACCCGAGTTCCATTCCCCTAGAGTTCAGAAGTGAGGACAGAGAGCAGACAGTTCCATCGGCCATCTGCAGAGCTCTTACCCCCTGCCCCAGTGCAGTGGTGCATGCTGGGGCTTTGCAGTACAGAATCCCAGGCCTTGGGGTCAATCACTAGGAGCCCCAGGTTGGTCCCCCTGAGTGACCACAACAGGTTCTAGCAGGACAGCCTGGGGAGCCACACGTACCACGTATTTGGCCATGTTCCACAGCTACACATACCACACCTATATGTCCAGGGGACAGGGGACGCCTGCCATGTGGGCAAGGAGCGGGCAGACAGCACCAAGGACCATGGGGATGGCAGAACTCGAATCTGGAGCCCAACTGTAAACAGACTGGGAAGCTGAGTGATTGAGTGAGAAAAGTCAGGTGGGGATCAGTAAGGATTGGGGGCTAACAGCAGGGCAGAAGTCCTGTGCACACAGTATGTGCCAGCCAGGAACAGGGGGTCTGAATAGAATGAAATGACTGCCCCAGGAAAGCAATTCTGGAGGGGCCAGAGTGGGAATGGTGGAATCTTTTTACTTTTTTACTCCTGTTGATACTTTGTCTACTTAAATAGATACACGAGGGCTGGGATGTAGCTCAGCAGCGAAGTGCTTCTAGCAAGTGGGTTCCATCCAGTACCAAAAAAGAAAAGACAAAGAAAAATATAGTTAAAAAAATAAAATAGCTGGGCATCAGTAGCTCACACCTATAAAAAATCCTAGCTACTCAGGAGGTTGGGATATGAGGATACTCCTTTGAAGCCAGCTTGGGCAGAAAAGTCCCCATGAGACTCCTATCTTCAATTAACTACTCAAAAACCAGAAGTGGTGCTGTGGCTCAAGTGGTAGAACACTAGGCTTGAGCACAAAGAGGTTCAGGGACAGCACCTAGGCCCCTACAATCAACAATAGCAACAACTAAATAAATAAATAAAATAGATACCATATAGAGATCATACATATACATATATATATATGTATTCTCTCTCTCTCTCTCTCTCTCTCTCTCTATATATATATATATATATATATATATATTCAGATGCCTGTAATCCTAGCTACTTGAGAGGCTGAGAACTGGAGGATCTCAGTTTCGATTCTGACTAGACAGGATAATCTGTTAGACTCCATTTCCGAAATAATCAACAAAAAAGCAGTGCTGGAGACATGGCTCAAGTGGTAGATTGCCAGCCATGCAAGTGAGCCACCAGCCCTTCAGATCAAATTCAGAAATTGGCAAAAAAAAAAAAAAAAAGCTGGGTGCCAGTGGCTCACACCTATAATCCTAGCTACTCAGGAGGCTGAGATCTGAGGATCACGGATCAAAGCCAGCCCAGGCAGGAAAGTCTGAGACTCTTATCTCCAATAAATCCCTAGAAAACTGGAAGTGGCGCTGTGGCTCATGCTGTAGAGTGCTTGCCTTGAGCTGATGAACGCAGGGACAGTGCCCAGGCCGAGTTCAAGCCCCATGACTGACAAAAAGCTGGATCTCAAGTCCACCATTAGCCTAGGCTACAAAGTGAGTTCCAGGTGATCATGGTCTAGTTATTGAGACCCTGTATCTAATAAAATAAGTACAACACAACAAAAGCCTACATGCAAAATAACCAAATCCCTCTCCTTGCCCTGCCCAGGAATTTATCTCTTACAGGGCACCCAGGATCCCAACACTGACCACCGCCCTGGGAAAGACCTGACATTTCCTTCTTGTCCCAGCAGCAGGGCTCTGGGTACCAGGTGCACCAGCTGTCGGGTCCTGGGCTGAGCTGGGGGTGGGCTGCTGGTGGTCCCTGCGCTGAGAGAGGGCAAGCTCTGGGCCTGGTCTTGTGTCTAAACCAGCTGCTCAAACCAGGTGTCCATTGCCCGCCAGGCTCTCCACTGGAGTTAGTCCTTGCTACTGATGACCACTGGGACAGCAGGCAGGACTCTGCCGCCGTGTCACCTTTCCCCAGATGTCTGTCCTTTAGCGTGTCACTTCAATAACCCGGCTCTTCTGTCCCAGACAGGCTGAGCCCAAAGAACGGGGGATATAGGATGCAGTGGCGTCCATTCGGCCACCCACCGACAGAGGGCGCTCCAGGCACCGCGCGGCGCCGTTCCTCCTTTGTCTTTCCCCGCCAGTCACCTCTATGTTTTACTTCCGGTTACGCCGGAAGTCATCCTGGGGGGGGGGAGAGAGAGACACTGAGTTTAGCTTCCGCTTCCGGGCCGGCCGTGGTGGCGGGGCTCTGGAGCGATGGGCGGGTTGTGAGTGAGTGGGCCGCGGCGCTGGGTGTCTGTCTGGAGCGGCGCCCTCCGTGGCCCCCGCTCCGCATCCTCGGAGCTGCGCCCTGGACGCGCTTGGCTGCAGCCGCTGCGGTGTGAACGAATGAATGAATGAGGGAGCGAGCGGTGTGCTGTCACTTCTCATCCGGTGACCCGGCGAAGAGCCGGGAGCGAGGGCGGCATGAACCGGGCCAAGCCCACCACCGTGCGGAGGCCCAGCGCCGTGGCCAAGCCTTCGGGTGCGTTCCCCGTGCGGCGCCGGGGCCTGGGCGGCGGCGGGGGGCGGGGGGCGGGCGCGAGAGCTCCTGCTGGACGGGGTCACCCGGCGGACACCGGTACCGAGATCGCCTGCAGGACAGGGTCACCTGGGCCCTGAACCCCGGGGCCCAGATCGCCTGCAGGACAGGGTCACCTGGGCCCTGAACCCCCTGGCTGAGATCTCCTGCAGGGACAGTGTCACCTAGGCCCTGGATCCCAATATTGAGATCTCCTGCAGGGACGGGGCACCTGGGCCCTGGATCCCAGGACCGAGATCTGCAGGCACAGGGTCACCTGGGCCCTGGACACTGGGGCCGAGATCTCCTTCAGGGACAGTGTCACCTGGGGCCTGAACCCCGGGGCTGAGATCTCCTGCAGGGGCAGGGCACCTGGGCCCTGAACCCCAGTATTGAGATCTCCTGCAGGGACGGGGCACCTGGGCCATGGACACCTGGGCTGAGAGCCCCTGCAGGGACAGGGTCACCTGGGCCCTGGACACCTGGGCCGAGATCTCCTGCAGGACGGAGGTCACTTGACTCAGCTGAGCATCTGGGAGACTGCATGGTACCAGGGCTAAGTGGTCTAGACTCAGTTCCTGGAGTGGCTTCCTGTGTGACATTGGTAACATTACCCAACTTCTATGTGTGTCTTCCTCCCCTGTAAAGCGAGAGGTGATCAAACTGAGTCGGGAATTTGGGGACTAAACAATCAGACCTGTAGATTAGGGTTGGCCTGGCTCATAGTCATTGGCCATTAGCAGCCATCACTGTCCACAACATGCCTGTCCTGGCTCTCTAGGGGCCCTGCTGAGTGGCCTCCGGCCTCACTCTCTCACCTTCTCTAATCCCTTGCTCAGCTCCTCTAAGAGGTTGGAAGCTCTCCCACTGTGGATGGGTGGTGTCACACTGTGCCTGTCTTCTGTCCCCTCTGCAGGGCACCCTCCACCTGGGGACTTCATTGCTCTGGGCTCAAAGGGCCAGGCTGGGGAATCGAAGACAGGGTCAGCCCTGCTGAAACCAGCGGCCTCGGGCCTACCCTCAGAGCGCAAGCGTGAAGCTGCAGCCACTTTGCCCGGGGCCTCTTCTCTTGGTGGCCTTGCCAAGCGCCCCAAACTCCCTGCTACTCCTCCACTGAGTGCCCTGGGGCGCCTGGCCGAGGCAGCAGTAGCAGAGAAGCGAGCCATCTCTCCTTCCATTAAAGAGCCATCTGTGGTGCCTATTGAAGGTACAGTTGGGATACAAAAGGAGCTCCTTTGTGGGAAATTAAGATGTTGCTGTGACAGGCTGAGGACTGGGTCTTAGCACTCAGCCTTTGCTGTGTGGGAGAAACTTCACATCTCTTGGAGGAAGCTATTCACTGTGGGGCTTCCTATGGTTTGCCAGTGTCCCTATGGCTAACCAGTCCCTCCTGCCCTGGCCAGTCCTGCCCACAGTGCTGCTGGATGAAGTTGAGGCTGCTGAGCTGGAGGGTAATGATGATAGGATTGAGGGCGTGTTGTGTGGGGCAGTGAAGCAGCTGAAGGTCACCCGGGCCAAGCCCGACAGCACCCTCTACCTGAGCCTGATGTACCTGGCCAAGATCAAGCCCAACATCTTCGCCACTGAGGGAGTCATCGAGGTGAGCCAGCCCCCAGCACCACGTTCTCTTACCAGCCACTTCCTTCCCTGTCGCCTCTCAGACCCTCTGGCCACACCTGTGTGTCAGGGTGGCTGTGACAGGCCCATGACACCAGCCCTCCCTGGCAGGCTCTGTGCAGCCTCCTGCGGCGAGACGCCTCCATTAGCTTCAAGGCCAAGGGGAACAGCCTGGTGTCTGTGCTGGCCTGCAACCTACTCATGGCTGCCTACGAGGAGGATGAGAACTGGCCTGAGATCTTTGTCAAGGTGAGTCCTCCACTCCGGGGCTCAGTGGGGTTGATAAAGAAGAGCACCGTGGAGTGGGGTGGGGATGGGGGTAGGAGAGAGGCTGGAGCATGAGAGAGAAGCATATGATGCTGTCTCTCCGGCCCTGAGAGACGATGAGGACCTTCTGGGTGGCCACCCCACCTGGCCGTTGGCAGCTGGGGGTGTCAGGACTGGCCCCAGGCAGGCCTGAGGCTGTGGCTCCCCAGGTGTACATTGAAGACTCCCTGGGGGAGCGGATCTGGGTGGACAGCCAGCACTGCAGGACCTTCGTGGATAACATCCAGACTGCATTCAACACCAGAATGCCCCCCAAGAGCATGCTGCTGCAGGGGGAAGGTGCCCGCAGCGGAGGTGACCTGGGGGCTGGTAAGAGCTGCTGGGAGTGGAATGGGGTCTGGCCCACAGGGAAGGAGGGTCATGGGGTGAGGATGGGATGGGAGTTGGCACCCACGGGCTTTCTGTGGTCCACACAGGGAGCAGCCCCCACCCCTCCCTCACGGAGGAGGAAGACAGCCAGACAGAGCTGCTGATTGCTGAGGAGAAGCTAAGCCCTGAGCAGGAGGGCCAGCTCATGCCCAGGTAAGTGGGCCACACAGGCTGGGCTCTAGGTTGGCAGGCAGGGTGGGTGTGTAGAGGACAGCGTCCTCCCTTCTTTCCTTGCCCCCTCTGGCCTAGGTACGATGACCTCACAGAGAGCGTGGAGGAGTACGTGCTGGACATGCTGCGTGACCAGCTCAACCGGCGGCAGCCCATCGACAACGTGTCCCGGAACCTGCTGCGGCTGCTCACCTCTACCTGCGGCTACAAGGAGGTGCGGCTGCTGGCTGTGCAGCGGCTGGAGATGTGGCTTCAGAACCCAAAGGTGGGCCATTTGGACAGTGGCGGGCTGGGGACTTCTAGAGGAAGGGGTCCCACCTGCTGCTCGGTGTGCTCCACGAGTCTCCCCGGCCTCCTACAGCTGACCAGGCCAGCACAGGACCTGCTCATGTCCGTGTGCATGAACTGCAACACACACGGCCCAGAGGACATGGACGTCATCTCCCACCTGATCAAGATCCGCCTCAAGCCCAAGGTCCTCCTGAACCACTACATGCTGTGTGTCAGGTGCGGGGCTGTGGGGAGGGTGGCGGGAGGCCGGCTGGAGGCCCGCTGGCATGGCCCGTACCTCTCTCACATGCCTGCCCCTCTCCCACCCAGAGAGCTGCTGAACGCACACAAGGACAACCTGGGCACCACCATCAAGTTTGTCATTTTCAACGAGCTGTCCAACGCCCGCAACCCCAACAACATGCAGATCCTCTACACTGTGCTGCAGCACAGCTCTGAGCTAGCACCCAAGGTAGCACCATGTCTGCTCCCCCGACCCTCCCTCCCGCCCCGCCTGCCTCTGCCTTGGCTGGAGGGGTGTTTGGAACAGCCTGTTACCCAGTGTGCACAGATGTGGGTGGGTGGGGGTGCTGCTGTGTGGGAAAGTGTCTGAATCTCTTTTGTGTTGGGCTTCGAGTCCGTCCTGGAAATTAAAACTGTTGAGGGAACAGCACTGAGCCCTTGAAAGAGCCACCAAAGGATCATGTCTGTAATCCTATCTAGTTAGGGGCTGAGGCTGGGAGGATCCCAATTTCAGGCCAGCCCGGGCTATCTTCAAAATAGCCAGCATAAATCAAGGCTAGTGTTGAGGCTGAAGTGGTAGAGCACCAGCCAAACAAACTAACCAGGTAAGCATGAGGGCCGAGTTCAAACCTGATTATTTCCTGAATAAAAGAGCCACTTTATTTCCCTGCAATGATCCGAGCTGCCTTCCTAGACAAGGGTCCCCCAGATCTAGCTAGGGGCTCTATAGCACTGGGCCCTGGCCTGGAGCCTGGCTTGGCTGGGATGATCTGCTGTGTGTCAGTATCCAGCCTCGGTCTCCTTTGCCGCTCAGCACAATGAGAGGAGCGCTGGGGTTGGGATCCTTTCTTCCTGCTGTCCTTTGAGGCGTGGTGGGGGCTGAGGTGGCTCGTTGCTGCCCAGAACATCAGTGCAATGCCGGCGCCCTGTTTGGGCTGAGCTGCTGCAAGGTGGCTGTTCCTGTGGGGCCACGCGGGTACTCCGGCTCTTTCTGGAGACTCTTGTGGGGACAGCTGCCTGTGGGGCTGAGCGAGGCCCCGCCCAAGGATGTGGCGGGATGCCTGTCCTGGCTGGCATCTGATTTTGGTGTCGGCGGCCTCTCTCTGCCCCAGCTGCTGGCCATGGTGTTCCAGGACCTGCTGACCAACAAGGATGACTACCTGCGGGCGTCACGTGCCCTGCTGCGCGAGATCATCAAGCAGACGAAGCATGAGATCAACTTCCAGGCCTTCTGCCTTGGCCTCATGCAGGAGCGCAAGGAGCCCCAGTACTTGGAAATGGAGTTCAAGGTGCCCCCACTTCGCCTGCTGCCCCTCCCCCCCGCCAGCTGTGCGCAGGGGGCTCCATGTCCCAGCCTAGGCTGAGTGTGACCTGAGCTGTAGCTGGTGAGGCTGACAAAGCAGGTCTCCTAAGCAGGAGAGGGAGTGGCCACTCTGGCCTGAGTCCACAGTAGAGGTGCAAGAGGAAGTGGGGGACTGGTGGAGATCTCAGACCCTAAAGCTGCCTGCCATCTGCCTGTGTACAGTCTGCTGTTTGCCTGTACAGGACTGGCCGTGTTGGCTGGACCTCCCCAACTAGGCTAGGGCCCTGCCTCTTCCCAGTCCTCCGGCTCTCGTGGTGGTGTCTGGACTCTGTGAAGACCCCCGTCTTTGCACAGCTTGTATGCATGTGTGCGTAAGTCAGCGTGGGGTGCGTTGCAAGTCCCACTGTGCCGCTTTGCCCCTCCCTGCAGGAACGGTTCGTGGTCCATGTGACGGATGTGCTGGCAGTCTCCATGATGTTGGGCATCACTGCCCAGGTGAAGGAGGCAGGCATCGCCTGGGACAAAGGAGAGAAAAGGAGTAAGGCTTGGTGCTGGCATGGCCCAATTATCCAGGCCTGGTGGCATCTGACCCTAATGCCGTCCCAGGGGAGGTTTGCAGAGATGGGGAGAAGGTTCAGTTTCAGCATGGCCATGAGGAGACCAGATGTGCTTGCAAGTGGCCATCTTCTGCCACCAGGGCATGAAGTGATCCAGCCCAGGTCTCGTCCTCTGTCGAGTTTTCTACTGCTGAGGCCCCACGCCCATAGCAGGCCTTCCCCATGGCTGGCAGGAGGGAAGGTGGGGCCGTGCTGGGGTCACCCACCCTCCAGGGCTAGGGCCACAGGAGATCATCGCTGCCACTAACGCTGCTGCTCCTCACAGACCTCGAGGTGTTGCGTGCCTTCCAGAACCAGATTGCCGCGATCCAGCGGGATGCAGTCTGGTGGCTTCACACTGTTGTCCCCTCCATCAGCAAGCTGGCACCCAAGGACTACGTGCACTGGTATGGTGGCCTTCTGCCTGTGAGGGCCATGCTGGGGGCCATGTGATCGCTGAGGGTCAGCGCCACTTGTGGGGCCTCTGGGGTGGGGGCTGCTCTGCAGGGCTGTTTAGGACTCAGCTGGCCCCTGGACATTGTTGGCTGCTCCATCTAACGTTGTCTGTGTTGCGCCTGAGAGTGGCTGCCCTCGCCTGACAGCCTGCCCTGTCTGTCTGCAGCCTGCACAAGGTGCTTTTCACAGAGCAGCCCGAGACTTACTACAAGTGGGACAACTGGCCGCCAGAGAGTGACCGCAAGTGAGCACACCACAGCCAGGCCAGGGCCAATCGGTCTGCACTGCCCCAGTGCCATTCTGTGCTGGGGTCTGTAATCACCCACCCCAGGCAGCCGACCAGCCCCTGTGCCCTGCCTTCAGCCCCCCAACTTCCCCTCTTCTGTTTCCTGGTTGGTTGTTCCCCCCCCCAGACTCCCCCTCACAGCCACAGGGACCGCCCGCCTCAGCTACCACCAGAGGTCAGGGTCCTATCCCTTGCCCATTCTTCCTTGGAATCCTGCCGCCCAGGCTTATATAGTCCTCAGGGGTAGCAGAGCCTCATGCAGGCTGTGGAAACAAGTAATCATGTGGCCACCGAAGCTTCCCTGTGCATTTGACCCTGGGAACTGGGCTGGGGTGGGGTGGGGGGGCCCCACGGGCCTCAGCCCCTGCACACAACAGGGCCTGTGGCTCCTGGATTGGTGGGCCACAGCCCCTCCCACCCCCAACCAGCTGCTCCCATGCCGTTTGCAGCTTCTTCCTGCGCCTGTGCTCAGAGGTGCCCATCCTGGAGGATACGCTCATGCGCGTCCTGGTCATTGGGCTGTCCCGTGAGCTCCCGCTTGGCCCTGCGGACGCCATGGAGCTTGCTGACCACCTGGTGAAGCGTGCCGCGGCTGTGCAGGCAGACGGTAATGGCCCTGCCCTCCTCTTTATACCCTGACGTGAGGACCTGGGCTGTGCCCCTGGATAGCAGCACCCACCTGGGTTTGCGGGGCTCGCACTCTGTGCTTAGTTCTTTGGGAGGCCAGGGCCTGGAGTTGATACAGGAGCCCTTGAGGATTGGCAGCCTTGCCCTCTCCATTGGGAAGCAGGGCTTGAGCTTGGGGCCTTGCATTCTTTTTTTTTTTTTTGCCAGTCCTGGGTCTTGAACTCAGGGCCTGGGCACTCTCTCTGAGCTTCTTTTGCTCAAGGCTAGCACTCTACCACTTGATTCACAGCTAGATAAGCACTCGACCACTAAGCCACATTTCCAGCCCTGGGGCTTTTCCACTCAAGGTTGGCATTCTACACTAGAGTAACATCTCTATTTGAGGCTTTTTGCTGGTTAATTGTAGATGAATCTCTCAGATTTGTCTGTCCCAGACTGGCTTCAAATTGTGACCCTCAAGCCGGGCGCTGGTGGCTCACAACTGTAATCCTAGCTACTAAGGAGGCTGAGATCTGAGGATCACAGTTCAAAGCCAGCCCGGCCAGGAAAGTCTGTGAAACTCTTATCTCCAATAAACCACCAGGAAACCGGAAGTGGTGCTGTGGCTCAAGCAGTAGAGCGCTCACCTTGAGTTGAAGAGCACAGGAACAGCGCCCAAGCCCAGAGTTCAAGCCCCATGACCGACAAAAAAAAAAAAAATTGTGACCCTCAGATTTCAGCCTCTTGAGTAGCTGGGATTACAGGTGTGAGCCACCGGTGCCCAGCTCCATGATATTAAACTTGATGTCCTCTCTGCTGATCAGTGAAAGGTTGATGACCAGAATGTGGCTGTATGGCCTGCTGTGGCCCTCTGGTCATTCCTGTCTCTTCCTCTGGCTGCTCTCGTGCCCATTTTCTGACTGAGTTCCTGGCCTGTACACTGCCCTGGGAGTGGCATAGCCTGGGCTCTGGAGCTGTGTCTTTGGCTTTCAGATGTGGAAGTACTGAAGGTGGAGAGGATCCAACTGATCGACGCCGTTCTGAACCTGTGCACCTATCACCACCCTGAGAACATCCAGCTCCCACCTGGGTGAGTAGGTGTGCTGCTGGCCCAGGCCTGGGCACATGGCCGGTATAAGACCTGCTTCCTGCTGGCACCTCATTCCTACTTGCTTTCTGCTTTATGTATGAATGAGTTTTTTTGTTTTTTGGCCAGTCCTGGGGCTTGAACTCAGGGCTTGAACCATGAGCTTCTTTTGCTCAAGGCTTACACTACCATTTAAACCACAGTACCACTTCTAGCCTTTTCTGTTTATGTGGTACTAAGAATTGAACCCATAGTTTCATGCATGCTAGGCAAGCACTCTACCACTAAGCCACATTCCCAGCCTACCTACTTCCGGTTTTTTTGAGTAATTTATTGGAGATAAGAGTCTCAGAGTCTTTTTTGCCCCAGTTGGCTTTGAACTGTTTATCCTAAGATCTCATCCTCCTGAATAGCTAGGATTACAGGTGTAAGCCACATGGCTAAATTTATGTATTTTGTTTTGTTTTTGTCAGTCATGGGGCCTGAACTCTCGGCCTGGGTGCTGTCCCTCAGCTCTTCAGCTCAAGGCTAACGCTCTACCACTTGAGAGCCACAGCGCCACTTCTGACTTTCTGCTTATGTGGTGCTGAGGAATCGAACCCAGGGCCTCATGCATGCAAGGCAAGCACTCTACCACTGAGCCACCTTCCCAGCCCAAATTTATATATTTTAATTAATTTATGTGCATATGTGCGGTACTGAGGCTTGAACTCAGAGCCTCACACTTTTACTTGGCTTTTTCACTTAAGGCTGGTGCTCTAACATTTGACCACACCTCCACATCTGTCTTTTTGCTGGTTAGTTGGACTTCTTTGCCAGGCTAGCTTCAAACCATGATCCTCATATCAGCTTCCTGAGTAGCCAGGATTATAAGCGTGAGCTACTGTGTCCAGCTGAAGTTTTTTCCTTAGCTTTCTGGCATGTGCTCTCTCCATAACTAGGTATATTTCACTTAAGGCTGTTGGTGTGTCACAAGTCTACCTCAGATCCTCTTCATTCCTCCTATCAGTTAGGCTATGTCCTCTCTAAAGACTCTCCTTGAATTCTGCTCACCTGTGATCTTGACATGTTAACAGTTGGGCCCTGATGGATTCTGGGGTTTCTAGTGTCTTGCTATTCATTAAATGCTTACACATCATCTATTTTTGCACCCCTTTCATAGATGGGACAGCCAGGCTAGGAAGGTCAGTGGTGGCCTGGGCTCAGCGCTGTTGGGTCATTGGTAGCGTGGGCTCAGCGGCCTTGCCCCTCGGGGTCCAGAACGCCTCTGTGCATATTCGTGGCATGGCCAAGGGTCACTAGGAGGGGACATTCTGAGGTGCACTGCCTTAGTGCAGAGCTGTGGCTGAGCTGGACAGCTGGTAACCTCTGCCCGCACTATGGACACTCTGTCCTGTAGGTACCAGCCCCCCAGCCTCGCCATCTCTACCCTCTACTGGAAAGCCTGGCCTCTGCTCCTGGTGGTTGCTGCCTTCAACCCTGAGAACATCGGTGAGCCCTCCTGCTGTGGTGGTCCTGGCTGCGGGTGGCCACCAGCCTGCGGGCAGGGCCCATCTCTGCTCTCCTTCCTCTAGGCCTGGCCGCCTGGGAGGAGTACCCCACGCTAAAGATGCTCATGGAGATGGTGATGACCAAGTAAGTCACCAAGTCCTGCTGGCACCTCAGGGCCTTTGGCACAGGGCTGGACACCGCTACATCTCAGGCTGATCCCTGGGGTATCTGGGCTTGAGAATACTTTTCAAGTCCATGTCCATTGAGGGTCTGGCTCTTCTGGGGGTGAGAGGAGTCAGGGTATCAGCACCGAGCCTGTGGGGAGGCCATGTCATGGCAGTGTCTGGGGAGAGTGGAAGCTCGATGCCAGAGGAGGTACAGCTGGGCTGGGCCTGCAGCCTTCAGCTGAGGCCTTGCGGGTGCGGCCCCTGCTGGGCTGTGAGCGTCCTCCAGCGGAGCTGTCCTGGCAGACAGGTCACAAGGCCATGTCTGCTTGGTCCCCAGCAATTACTCGTACCCCCCGTGCACGCTGACGGACGAGGAGACGCGGACAGAGATGATCAACCGGGAGCTGCAGATCTCCCAGCGGGAGAAGCAGGAGATCCTGGCCTTCGAGGGCCACCTGGCCGCCGCGTCCACCAAGCAGACCATCACGGAGAGCAGCAGCCTCCTGTTATCACAGCTCACCAGCCTGGACCCCCAGTATGCCCGCCCTGCCCCGACTCGAGCCCAGGCCTGGGCAGGCCTTATCCTAGAGCACCCTCAGTGCCCAGATCTTGGCATGTGGTCCAGCATTAGCAGCCGAGGGGCTCAGGGTGGGATGGGGTCCATTGCTGTTGCTCTGGGAGTATTGTGCTGTGACTTTCTGATGCCATGTCCCCTGTGACCTGCAGAGGGCCCCCCCGGAGGCCTCCCCCCCACATCCTGGATCAGGTGAAGGGCCTCAACCAGTCCCTGCGTCTTGGACACCTCCTGTGTCGCAGCCGCAACCCCGACTTCCTGCTGAACATCATCCAGCGCCAGGTAGGGGAGCCGGGAGGACTCCGGGGCACTGCAGCCAGAGGGCAGTGCAGACACACGCAGCTCAGACATACCGTGACACAGGGCAGGCTCACTGGCCTCAGTGGAGCCTCTGCCTTTCCACCAGGCCTCCTCCCAGTCCATGCCCTGGCTGGCTGACCTGGTGCAGTCCAGCGAGGGCTCCCTGGACGTGCTGCCCGTGCAGTGCCTGTGCGAGTTCCTGCTCCACGACGCTGCGGATGACACAGCCTCGGGGGAGGAAGAGGACGAGGGGGAGAGCCGGGAGCAGAAGGCCAAGAAGCGGCAGGTTGGTGCCAGTCTGCAGCAGCCTGTCCAGCAGCAGCAGGCAGCTTCCAAGAGCCCCTCTCACCCCAGAGCCCCTCTCACCCCAGAGCCCCTCTCATCCACAGAGCCCCTCTCACCCCAGAGACCCTCTCACCCCAGAGCCCCTCTCATCCCCAGAGCCCCTCTCATCCCCAGAGCCCCTCTCATCCCCAGAGCCCCTCTCATCCCCAGAGGCAGCAGAAGCAGCGGCAGCTGCTGGGCCGCCTGCAGGAGCTGCTGCTGGGCCCGAAGGCGGATGAGCAGACCACGTGTGAGGTGCTCGACTACTTCCTGCGGCGCCTGGGCTCCTCGCAGGTCGCCTCCAGGGTGCTGGCCATGAAGGTGAGTGCCAGCGGGGCTGTGGGATTCCCTGTGTGTCCCTGGCTCATGCTCGCTCTTGGTGGTGGACGCGCACCTGGTCGCGCACCTGTGCATGCTGTGTGCATGCACAAGGCCCCGCGCCTCCACGCAGCCCACATAGCTGGGGCCCTTGTCACTTGTGTGGCGCGGCTTCTGGGTGGTGGTGTGAGATTTTTGGGGAGTGACTGAGACTGTATTCTGGCATGCCTGAGGCCCTGGGCTCCATCTCCTCCCCAAAGCATGCGTGGAAGCAGTGCGTGGAGCCCCCGGGGGTGACCAGGCCTGGGCTGGGGGTGCTGTGCTTGTGTGCCCGCAGGGCTTGTCTCTGGTGCTATCTGAGGGTGGACTGCGGGACAAGGAGGAGAAGGACCCCCCCATGGAGGAGGACGTGGGGGAGCCAGATGCCTTGCAGGGCTACCAGTGGCTGCTGCGGGACCTGCCCCGGCTGCCTCTGTTTGACAGCGTGAGGACCACCACTGCGCTGGCGCTGCAGCAGGTGCGGGGCTGAGGGAGGGGAGGGGAGGGCAGGAGTCGGGGCCACAGGAGGGCCTGCAGCCCTGCCCTAAGAGCCAGCTCAGCAGCCTGCCCTCCTCCCCAGGCCATCCACATGGAGACAGACCCCCAGACCATCAGTGCCTACCTGGTCTACCTGTCCCAGCACACACCGGTGGAGGAGCAGGGGCCACACAGCGACCTGGCCCTGGTGAGGGGGATGGCGATCGTCCAGCAGCCTAGCTCTGTCTAATGGGGCCCTGGGCCGGGCTGCTGCACCCCATGCAGAGCTCCCTGTGCCCAGCCTGGTTGCTGTGGCCTTGTGCACATGCCATTGCTCAGGACCTCTGGGGCCTGGCCATCTGTGTCCCTTTAGGCCCTGTTGACTTCTGGGAAATTTCCTGAGACCTAGTGGGGCGTTGGTTGTGGGCAGCTGGAGCCCTGAGCCACCTCCCACGGGGCCTGGCAGTGTTTGGGATAATGATTGGAGATTGGATAGCGGTGCTGCCAGCTGAGGGAGCTGAGAGTCCATGACCTTTGTCTGGCCCTCTTTCACACCATCCTGCTTCTGTGCCTCGATTTCCTGGTGGCTTTTCTCAGCCTCAGTGTGGCCTGCAGGAAGTTCACGGCTCTGAGCCTGAGCAATGCACATGCGAGGCATGGCGTCACTGAGAGCATGGTTCCTCCACAGCCTGCGCTCCTCGTTGGGACCCAAATCCCAGACACACCTGCCTGGGGGGCTCAGTCCTTTATCCTCATGCCGCCAATCTGGCGTCCATGTGGGAGCTCAGAGCCAGTCTTCTGTGCTTGTGGCACACATATAAGTGTACTGGTGGACACGGTTTACCGTGGCCTTCCCTCCTGGTGATGGGCAATCCTGCAGATCGAGGAAGTGTCTGGCCCGATGCCTCCTGCTTCTCATGATGGTGGGCAGAGGCCTTCATGTCCACCTTTGAGGTGCTGTGATGTGTTTCTGTGACTCACATTCAGAGAGGCCCTTGTCACCTCTCCCTCTGGCCACTGCCAGCTGCCTGGCGGCTGTATCCACACCCAGAGGGGAAGAGAGAGCCTGCAGCCCTGAGGGCTCCACACTCAGTGTGATTGGCCTTGGATCATATACCTTTGAGGCTGGGATGGGGGGGTGGAGAGACACTAATGGCAGAGACCCCAGGAGCCTCTGACAGCCCTCATCTTGCCCAGGACGTGGCCCGACTGGTCGTTGAGCGCTCCACCATCATGGCACACCTCTTCTCCAAGCTTTCCTGCAGCGCCACCTCTGATGCCGTGCTGGGTGCCCTCCTGTCTGTCTTTTCCCGCTACGTGCGGCGCATGCGCAAGAGCAAAGAGGGCGAGGAAGTCTACAGCTGGGTGAGGGCAAAGGCGTCCATGGCCGGGGGAGGGAGGGAAGAGAACCAGGGGCCCATGAAGGGCGAGGAGGTTCATTTCTGGGTAAGGTGGCTTTTGTCCACAGCTCTCCTGAGCCACTTGGGTCCCCGCCTTGCTCCCTCCCCACAGTCGGAGTCTCAGGACCAAGTCTTCCTGCGCTGGAGCAGCGGGGAGACGGCCACTATGCACATCCTTGTGGTCCACGCCATGGTCATCCTGCTGACACTGGGCCCACCCCGAGGTGAGTGGTGGCCACTGGCAGTTGCCTCTAGGTTTTCTTTCTCTGCCCCTGAGCAGGGGGCACGTAGTGATTGCCTGTAAACTGAGGCCCCTGGAAAGGACTGCCTGAGCCAGGAGATTGGGTCAGCAGAGTTCCCACAACCCCAGCCCTGAGCCCAGGCGCTGTCTAGAGGAGCCATCCTGTCCTCATGGCCCAGGCAGGAGACTGTGTTCCTTGGTGGGGAGGTGCAAGCCCGGGGCTGCCCATATGGCCCAGCTTCCCCTGTTGGGAAGGGCCTGTTGGCCCTAGGCTGGTCTATTCATCTGGTGGTCAGCCTTCCCTTCTCCCCACCCACTAAGAATTCTTCCTCTGAGCCAGGCGCTGGTGGCTCACGCCTGTAATCCTAGCTACTCAGGAGGCTGAGATCTGAGGATCGCGGTTCAAAGCCAGCCCGGGCAGGAGAGACCGTGAGACTCCTATCTCCAATAAACCACCAGAAAACTGGAAGTGGTGCTGTAGCTCAAGTGGTAGAGTGCTAGTCTTGAGCTGAAGAGCTGAGGGACAGCGCCCAGGCCCAAAGTTCAAGCCCCACGACCGACCAAAAAAAAAAAAAAGAATTCATCCTCTGCCACCTATTTCCTGACTAGGCATGCACAAGGAGAGGGGCATGGAACCCTGCACAGGGGTGAGGGTACCTGTAGGAGGGAGGTAAAGGCTGTCACGCCAGTGTCACCCTCAGGGCAGCAGGGAAGGCTGGCCCCATTCTACCCCAGCCTGCATGGCCCCTGGGCTGTGTGGAGCTGAATTGAAGAGATGGTGTGGCCAGGCAGCTTATACCCATAGGGCAGGGGTTCCTGTGGTACATGCGCCCACTAGGGCTAATGTCACAGGCCGTGGCGCCATCCCTGAGCCTGTAGAAGCCCATGTAGCCAGCTGCTGCAGCCACAGCAGGCTGCTTGAATAAACTAGTATGCCCAGTGTCCGGCACCCGTAGTCCCGTCTGCAGGACAGTCTTCCTTGGGCCCTGGGAAACCTTGGTCCCCAACCCCTGCCCCCCACTTAGAAGGGTCCAGAGGTCTCCAGTTCTCCCAGCCAAGGCAGGGGCCTGGGGTGAGGCTTCCCACCTGTCTTTCCCAAAGCTGGTGACAGCGAGTTCCAGGAGCTGCTGGACATCTGGTTTCCAGAGAAGAAGCCACTGCCCACTGCCTTCCTGGTAGACACATCCGAGGAGGCACTGCTGCTGCCTGACTGGCTGAAGCTGCGTATGATTCGCTCCGAGGTCCCTCGCCTGGTGGATGCGGGTATGGCCAGCCAGGCAGTGGCAAGCCTGGGCAATACTGACAGCTGGGGACCTGGCATGTCAGGCTGGCTCTGCTCCCGAGACTTGGAGATGAGTCCTCAGAGAGAAATGAAGATAAAAGGAGGGTCCTTGGGGAGAAGGGCAGGTGTTGCTGTTATTGTTGTTTGTGGCGGGGGGGGGGGGGGGGGGGGGGGGAGGGGGGGAGGGGAGGGTTAGGGTGTCTCGCAGTTGGTCCTCAACTTGTGGGGTTTAGGCAGCCACAATGGGAAGGAGGGTACCAGCAGGGTCTAGACAAGGCTCAGGCCAGAGTGAGTCCATCGAGCCAGCATCCTGGTTGCCCTTGGCATTGGTGAGGTCACTGTGCCCCTGAGGCCTGCCAGGGGCTGGAGAGGGGACGCTGGCTGTGCTGCTGCTCTGAGCCCCTGGCTGGCTGCACAGGAGTGGTGGCCTGGGCTGGGGCCGCTAACAGAGTGCTCACAGCCCTGCAGGACCTGGAGCCCCAGCAGCTGCTACTCTTCGTCCAGTCATTTGGCATCCCTGTGTCCAGCATGAGCAAACTTCTCCAGTACCTGGACCAGGCGGTGGCCCAGGACCCCCAGGCCCTGGAGCAGAACATCATGGACAAGAGTAAGCCACCCCCCTGTGCCATGGGGGGCTGCTCGGCAGGCAGGAAGGCACGGCCTCACAGCTGGAGTTGGCGCCCAGTGAGGCTAGAGCCTGCAGGAAAGCCCTGCCCTAGGGCCCTGTGGAGACTGATCTTTACTGGCAAGCCCCCAGTTCATCTCTTGGTTTGGGGGAAGTTTATAGAGCACCACGTGAGGGTCCCCACCCCTGGCTGTGGTTTTGCAGATTATATGGCTCACCTGGTGGAGGTACAACATGAGAGAGGTGCGTCTGGAGGCCAGACTTTCCACTCCCTGCTCACAGCCTCACTGCCGCCCCGGCGAGGTATGGACCTCCAGCCAGCCCGTCCCTGCGGTGGTACAGACAGTGCTGGGACATCACTGGGCTCCGGTGTCGGTCTGTCCTCCCTGCATCCCAGGACTGTGGGGCCCAGGGCTGACTGCTGTGGCTATGGCCTGGGTGGGATCCATTTGCCCCACTGCCTGCTGGGATCTGAAAGACTGAGCCCAGGCCTGTGTCCCTTTCTGTGCAGACAGCATGGAAGCACCAAAACCGAAAAGCAGTCCTGATCAGCCTCCCGGCCAGGGCAGAACCCGAGCTGGGGCTCAGGTCCGGGTGCTCGGCCCCGAGGATGACTTGGCCAGCATGCTCCTGCAGGTACCAGTGCCACTGTGGTCTGGCCCCATGCATGTGGGGTCCAGCCACCACCCATTGCACATGCAGGGGCCTGTGCTGGCCTGCTTCATGCAGGCCTCCTGCTGAGCCACCCTCTGCCTTAGCACGCCTATGAGCAGAGGTGGAAGGGCCCCTGTGGTGCCAGGCCCCCATGAAGCCTCCTCCCCCCTCCTCAGGGAGCCCGTGAGGATGTGGCAGATCCTGTTCACTGCCTCTCAGTTGGCGTAGTTGAGGCCAGAGATTAAACAGGGTCCCTATGGCTGAGGGGGGGGGGAGACTGGGGGCTCTGCTGCCTGCCCCACACCTCCTGATCCCAGTATTACTGTTCAGATCTTCCCGCTGAACCCTGACCCGCGGTGGCCAAGCTCCAGCCCGCGCCCCCTCGTCCTGGCGCTGCAGCAGGCACTGGGTCAGGAGTTGGCCCGCGTCCGCCAGGGGGATCCTGAGGTGCCGGGCGTGACAGTGCGCCTGCTGCAGGCCTTAGCCACGCTGCTGGGCTCCCCACATGGCGGGGCCCTTGGCATGGCCATGCACCGCAGCCACTTCCTGTCCTGCCCACTCATGCGCCAGCTCTACCAGTACCAGGTACCGAGGCATGGCGCGCCTGGCAGAGGGATGAGTGGTGGGGTGAAGTGAGGGGAGGCTGGGGTCCTAGAGGAGGGGAATCCTGGGACCCATGAGCTGCCACTCCCACAGCGCTGTGTGCCCCAGGACACCGGTTACTCCTCGCTCTTCCTCAAAGTGCTCATGCAGATGCTGCAGTGGCTGGACAGCCCGGCTGTGGAGGACGGGCCCCTCCAGGCCCAGCTCAAACTCTTCGCCACCCAGTACTCGGCCAGACACAGGATCAGCGACGGTGAGGGCACTGTGGCATGGAGTACCCAGGGCTCCAAACCACAGGCCAGCCAGAGTGTGGTGTGGCTAACAACTGTGGGGAGCGGTGCCGGCCTGGAGGGAGGATTGGGTGGGGCCATGGGAGCCCCAAGCGCGGGAGCCCAAGCCCATGGCCTCCTCCTGCAGTACGGAGTGGCCTCCTGCACCTGGCTGAGGCCCTGAGTTTCCGCCGTGACCTGGACGTGGTCAGCTCCACCGTGCGGGCCGTCATTGCCACCCTGAAGTCGGGGGGCAAGTGCAGCGTGGAGCCGGAGCTCATCAACAAAGGTAGTGCCTGGCCAGGGTGCCACGCGGCACAGGCCTGCCTTGAGGGTGGGAATTCTCCCGTTGGCATGTCCCACACGTGGCGTGGCGTGGCAGCTGTGGCAAGCCCCACTCAGTCCTCCCTGTCCTGCACAGTGCTCCGGGGCCTCGTCGAGGTGCGATCCCCCCACCTGGAGGAGCTGCTGACTGCACTCTTCTCGGGTGCGGTGGAGTCCGCCAGCCCTGGCCCAGCCCCCGGGCCGGTAGCAGTGGTCAGCGCCCTGCTGCTGCAGGAGAAGGAGGAGCCCCTGGGCCCCGGCCCTCAGGACACAGATGGTGGCAGGTGAGTGGGAGCCACAGCCCTGGGCCCCCAGGGACCCCATGAGCCCATCCCTGAGCTCCTTTCTCCCTACAGCCCAGAGACCATAAGGCTGGGCCCCTCATCAGGGCTGCTCGTGGACTGGCTGGAGATGCTGGACCCCGAGGTGGTCAGCAGTTGTCCCGACCTGCAGCGGAGGCTGCTCTTCTCACGGAGGAAGGTGACAGGGCAGAGGGCATTCGTGGGGAAAGGTACTAGCTGGGGATGCCACCCATGGGGACTGCCCTGAGGCCTCAATCCATTAGCCCAGAGAGTGACAGAGCCCCAGGTCCTGGGTGCCCATGGGGCCCGCTCTGTGGTAGCCGGATATGGTTTGGGTGGGAGGTGGGCTGCCCTGTGTGTTTAGTTCTCCCGTTCCAGCTGTTCCAGGTCTCCACAGTGGGGTGCAGGGGCTAAGGGTGGCGAAGGAGTGAGGTGGAAGACTCTTAGTATCATCTGAGCCTGGGGCACCGCCATGCTGCCCTGCCATTCTCTGTATTGGTAGTGAAGACATAGTGGGGCGCTTGGGAAAGCTTTCAGATTCTTCCAGGAATTATCCTTGGGTGCAGTACCAGGAGGTGTCTGCTGACCACCTCACGAGGGCTGGTCAGCCCTTGCACCCAGTTGGGGTCATCTCAGCCTCTTCCATCTCCAGGGCAAAGGCCACACCCAGGCCCCATCTTTCCGTCCTTACCTCCTGGCCCTCTTCACACACCAGTCCAGCTGGTCCACACTGCACCGATGTATCCGTGTCCTTCTGGGCAAGAGCCGAGAGCAGAGGTGAGCCCGTCCCCCAGCCAGGCCGTGCTCCTGCATGGCCCTCACCTGCCCATGGGTGCTGTGGGAGGCCAGGAAGCTGTCTCTACGGGGCTACCCTGTCCTCTGCAGCAGTGGACCCAGGACATCTGACCAGGGCATCAGACATTCCCTGAGGGGTTCAGAGGGTGGCCTGTCACCCAGACTGGCTGTGCATGCTCCCTGCAGGATGGAAGTGTCCAGCTGTGCTGCCAGGCCCTTTCCCAATCCCGTCTTCTAAATCTTATCCCTGGGTCATGTTCTCCGTCCATAGAAAACTCAGCCTTACTGTCCACACTGGAGCAGGGTGCAAGTGTAAATGGCCCCGAGTGGGGTGGGGCAGAACTGGGGAGTGGCTCCCCGAGACTGAGTGCATGCTCTTGCTGGCAGCTGCTCAGCTGTGGTCCTCTGCAGATCTGTGGTGGCTTCCCAGGGTGGCTGCCCTGGGCTCCCTGTGCTTAGCCACGTGTTCCTCCCAGGTTTGACCCCTCGGCCTCGCTGGACTTCCTCTGGGCCTGCATCCACGTGCCTCGGATCTGGCAGGGCAGGGACCAGCGCACCCCTCAGGCAGGTGCTGGGAGGCGGCGGGCTGTCTGTGCGGTGTGTTGTGCAGCGGCTGGACTGACGGGACGGTGCCTGCTTGCAGAAGCGGCGAGAGGAGCTGGTGCTCCATGTGCAGCCTGCAGAGCTCACCAGCCTGGTGGAGCTGATCCTCGCTGAGGCGGAGGCCAAGAGCCAGGATGGGGATGCGGCCGCCTGTTCCCTCATTCAGACTCGGCTGCCCTTGCTGCTCAGCTGCTGCCATGGTGACGAGGAAAGCATCCGCAGAGTGACGGAGCACCTGACGGGCTGTATCCAGCAGCGGGGGGACAGGTGCCTGTGCTCCCCACCCCCAGCCCCTTGGCATGGGACAGTGCTGGCCAAGGGCCTGGCCTGGGTCTGGCCCCATCGGCCCCTGGCCACCCCAGTGAGTCCCTCTGGTCTCTTGTAGCGTGCTGGGTCAGCGCTGCCGGGACCTGCTGCTGCAGCTGTACCTGCAGCGGCCTGAGCTGCGGGTACCTGTGCCGGATGTCCTGCTGCCCAGTGAGGGGGCCGCCAGCAGCAGTGTCTGCAAGGTGAGCCGCACAGCCCCTCCACACCGCAGCTGCCCTCAAAGGCCCACTCCTACCTTGTCCTCCCCAAGGAGCCCCTCTGGGTGCAAAGGGGTGCTTTAGCTGTCCCGTCCCCTCACAGATTGGAAGTGGGACGTGTGGGTGGTGTGCAGCATGCACGTGCTTCTAGGCTGTTGCCTCCATCAGCATGGGGTGCATTGTTTCACCCCCAGAAGTGTCCCTGGAGCCCCCCTCAGCTCCAGTAGCATTGCGCCACCCTGGCAGGCTGAAGGCCTTGTTTCCACACTGGGGCTGTGAGCAGGGCTGGGGAGGGCAAGGGGAGGTGGGGGGCATATGGCCTCTACTGCTTCGTCCTCACCTCTTCCTGGCCTCCCCCCCATCTCCCCCAGCTGGATGGGCTCATCCACCGCTTTATCACCCTCCTGGCCGACACCAGTGACTCCCGCTCATCGGAGAGCCGGGTAGCTGATGCCAATATGGCCTGTCGGAAGCTGGCTGTGGCACACCCCATCCTGCTGCTCAGGTACTCCAGGCCTGGCATGGCCCTTCACCTACAGTCCAGTCCAGGGGGCCTCCCCGAGCACCACCCTGTCCCCCCTTCTACTTCCATGCATGTCAGGGCATGTCTACCCCTAGTGTAATGTAAGGGTTCCGTAGCTGCAGGCTGGCACCCTGAAACCCAGGCCCTGGCTACTGGTAGTTTAGGAGCCATGGGCGCAGCCATGTGCTCAGCAAGCCAGCTGCAGCTGTTCCTGGACACAGCACCAGCGGCATCCTGTCACAGCATCTGTCTTGTGGAAATCTGGGGTTGTCTGGGACCCACTGACTCCAGGTGGAGCTGTGACCCCGGAGCCCTTCTGCCTGTCACAGGCACCTGCCCATGATCGCAGCGCTGCTGCATGGCCGCACGCACCTGAACTTCCAGGAGTTCCGGCAGCAGAACCACCTGGCCTTCTTCCTGCACGTCCTGGGCATCCTGCAGCTGCTGCAGCCGCGCGTCTTCCAGAGCGAGCACCAGGGGGCGCTGTGGGACTGCCTGCTGTCCTTCATCCGCCTGCTGCTGGTGCGCTGACCACCCGCGCCTCACCTTCCCTAACCAGGACTGTGGGGCCCCCCCCTGCTATGTAGCTGAGCCCAGCTCCCCAGTAGCCTCCACTTCCACCATGCTGGGCATCTACGCTGCCTTCAGAGCCTGGCTCAGCCCCAGCTTCCCATGTGCCTGGGGGAACCCCACGTCCTCAGCCCTCCCCATGGGGTCAGCAGAGGGCCGCTGTGGGGAGTTGGGGGCAGTCAGCGGCGGTCAGGTGGGGGGAAGGGCACTGAGTGGCTCTGGCCTCTGCAGAACTACCGGAAGTCCTCCCGTCACCTGGCGCCCTTCATCAGCAAGTTTGTGCAGTTCATCCACAAGTACATCACTTGCAGCGCCCCGGCCGCCGTGGCCTTCCTGCAGAAGCACGCGGAGCCCCTGCAGTGAGTGGCAGCAGGGCGGCTCGGCACCTGCCAGGGACTGCTGGGCAGGGCTGGGAGGGACCCCCCATGACTGTGCTCTGGGCTGCCCTGAAGCAGAGCTGCCCAGTTCCTTGCTGTCCTTGGCCTGGGCGGCCACACCCTCTCCTGCTCCCAGCCCCGCCCTCTCGCCCCAGGTCCCCAAGCTGAAAGCCTGTTCCTCCCCCAGCGACCTGTCCTTCGACAACAGCGACCTGGTGATGCTCAAGTCCCTCCTGGCGGGGCTCAGCCTGCCCAGCTGCAACGGCAGGACCGACCGGGGCCTGGATGAGGAGGGCGAGGGTGCGTGTGTGGTGCGGTGTTGGGGGGGGGAGTCCTTTGGGTCTGCTGTCCCCAGCAGCGTGGCCAGCCCCTGTGACGTGCCACCCCCACAGCCGAGCCCCATCCTGGGGCATTGCTGGGCCGCTAATGGGCCTCAGCACCCCACTGCAGCTGGGCCTCAGTCTTCCGGCCAGCGAGCCACGCGCCTGGTGCTGAGTGCTGGCGGCTGGTTGCGGGCTGCTGTCAGAAGCCCTGGTTTGGGCACATGACTAAGGGTGGCTCCCAGATACCCAGAGGTATCTGGGTGCTAATGGGGCACCCACCAAGCTGGGCCTTGGTGCTGCCCTGCAGTGCCAAGGCGAGGAAGGGAGGGAGCTCATTTCCTGGGTGGGTTCCCTGTGGTCAGTGGGAGAAAGCCAGGACGCCGGGTCTCCTCCCAGCAAGCTCCGTGCCACCAAGCTTGCCAAGCTCCTGCTGTGTGCCAGGCACTCTCCTCAGCCTGGCGGCAGTTGGGGAGCCCTTGGGAAGGACACCCCATCTTCCTGGGGCTGCCTGCCTGTCACCTTCCCTCGGATGACCTCTGCCTCTTGCAGATGAGTGCTCGGCCGGCTCCCTGCCGCTGGTCAGCGTGTCCCTCTCCACCCCGCTGACCGCGGCCGACATGGCCCCGCACATGAAGAGGCTCTCGCGGGGCCAGACCGTGGAGGGTGAGTGGGGCTCCTGCACCCCAGCTGTTCAGGCCACAGCCAGGCTGTGTGCTCCGGGGGGGCGCTGGGGGCTGGGGTGCTTCTGGAGGGCACCCGGGCTGGTGTGCGGACTGGTGTGCCTCGTGCACTCAGTGCCCTGGGGAGGCCAGTGCATCGGGCCTAATGCCTGCCTCGGAGTCCTGGGATGGCAGCTACTGAGTGGCAGGGGTGCACACGTTGGGGGCTTCTCAGGGAGCTGGGCTGCCGGGCTCTCTCACTGGGCTGGCCTCTGCCCTCAGACCTGCTGGAGGCCCTGAGTGACATAGATGAGATGTCGCGGCGCAGACCTGAGGTGCTGGGCTTCTTCTCGGTGAGCAGGGGCACACTGGGCGGGGCCCAGAAGGGTCTTGGGGGAGCCTCAGGCGCTGTCCTTGGCTAGCTCTGGGCTCATGGCCACCTGCTGATGGCCCTGTCCTGATGCCCGCCAGACCAACCTGCAGCGGCTGATGAGCTCGGCCGAGGAGACCTGCCGCAACCTGGCCTTCAGCCTGGCGCTGCGCTCCATCCAGAACAACCCCAGGTGAGCCCACACGCCGCAGCCTCTGGGCAGCCCAGACACCTGTCACCCCTCGCTGTCCTGGGCGCGGGCCGGGCCCCACACACAGCATGTCTCTTGCAGCACCGCGGCTGACTTCCTGCCCACCTTCATGTACTGCCTGGGCAGCCGGGACTTTGAGGTGATGCAGACGGCCCTCCGGAACCTGCCGGAATACACCCTGCTCTGCCAAGGTGAGCCCCGCCCCTGCTGCGTGGGACAGCCTCACGGGAAGCCGGCCCCTGACCACCTCTCTCCCCTTAGAGCACGCGGCCGTGCTGCTGCACCGGGCCTTCCTCGTGGGCATGTACGGCCAGGTGGACACCAGTGCCCAGATCTCCGAGGCCCTGAAGATCCTGCACATGGAGGCTGTGATGTGAGGCCAGCCGGGGGCCGCTTCAGGGTCTCCTCCTGGCTGCAGATGCCATAGCTGGCGGCTGGCACTGAGCCCCCGGGGACACGTGCCAGGCAAGGAGTAGCTGGCGTGCCTGCAAGGCAGGGTCAGCTTCAAATGAAACATTCTATGTCCCACGTGCCCAGCGTCCTGTCTTCTCCCATGGCCAGCGTGGCTCTCTTCTAGAGATGTGGGGCTGCCAAGCACAGTCCCGGAGGTGGGGACCTGCCCGCTCCTGGGGTACTGCTGGGGGAATGCTGGTGCCTAGCTGTCCGCGCCCACAGCACAGCCTGCTGCCTCCTATGCTGTTTGCCTGACTTGCCCTCAGGGCCCTGAGTTCTCTGCCCACGGCATTGTTAGGCTACGGTGGGGCTGGGTGGGAACAGCCAACGCCCCATTATCCCCATCCACCAGGAGGCTGCTGTGGGCCACTGCGTTTCCTCTGTCAGGGTCAGAGCGTCTCACTCCATCCTCAGAGCAGCCAGAGGCCTCCCCACCCGCAGGACAGGCTGTCTCCCCACCCGGTGGGGTCCCTACTGTCTGCAGTGCTTCAAGGCAGCCACTGCCAGCCCGTCATCCACCCTGGTACTGGCTTCCGCCCAGCGATCCCATCGATTTCCACCAGGGGGCACTGCAATCCGGAAAAGCGGCCCGGGGCTAGTGGAGGAACCTTGGTCTCCAGAGACATCCAGTCCCGTACCTACCCTGGACACTCAGCCCCAAGTCCAGGCCTGGCCTGTCACCCACATCCGCCCACCTCGCCTCCAGTCTCCCAGAGCAGCATGGCTCCTGCGTTCAGGGTCCTGGGAGGGAAGCCGAGATGGGTAGGAGGCTAGCCTGAGGCACAGCAAGCCATCCGGCTGGCCACGCCCTTCATGATGGCCCTGAAGCTCCAGGCCCAGGTTCCAGAGAAGCCTCACCCCTGCGCTCCCCATTGCCGGCCGGCCTGGCCCCTGCTTAAGGCTGGGTGTGCCCAGCACCCCACCTCCAGGCCTCGCAGGGTGCTCTTGGCTCTTTGGGCCTCTGTGCATCGGGGAGGCTGCGGCTTGCCCCTGGCCACCGCCACCTGAGGAAGGGGCCCCCCCCAGGGATGATCATTCCTGGGAAGGTGTCCCCTTGTGCCCCCCTGGACCGCTGCCTCCACATCCCGCCCTCCTGGCGCCACGGGCGTGCAAGGGCCACCCCAGCTCGGGGGGCAGCAGAGTGGCCTGCAGGGCAGACGCAGTGCCAGGCTCCTCCTGCCAGCCCCAGCCAGGCCAGCGGAGGGAGTGTCCGGGCCCCCTCGCCGGCCCGGCCAGGCTCCTGTTGAGTCAAGCTGAGGTGTCCCATGTGGTGGCTGTTGCAGGTGGCGTGGGCCCAGGGGTGCCTTGGCCCATGTAGGTGCTTAGCAAGGGACAAAGGGCCCACCCAGGTGGCCTGCCTGCCCCAGCTCCGTCGCCAGGACCCGGGGGCCCAGCGCGGTGGGTACGCCCCAACACGGGCACCACAGGGCTCCGAGATGAGGGTTGAGGTCCACCTGTGAGGCCAGTGTCCAGCAGGACGTGGGCAGGCCTGACCCTGTGCGTGCCACTGAGGGGACAGCTGGCCAGGACAGGAGGTCAGTGGGAGCCCAGGTGTGGAGGACATGACCTGGGGCCACCTGCCGTCCACACCCAGGTCCCCGTCTCTGACGCCCCAGGCACTGGCCATGGGGAGCTGGGCGCAGCACCTAGCACCAGCCCGCTGGCTGGCCTGGGATGGAGGCCTCCTGCCCTGCCCTGCCCTGCCCATGTGCTGGGGAGGGAGGCGGGGCGGGGTCAAAGGGCAGCATCCTCCACCCACTCCCCTTTTGGCCTATCCCTGGCCAATCCCTGGCCTTCCTCCACCAGGGCGCTGCCATGGTGAGGCACTTTCCTGCTCCCTAGGCAGGGCAGGAGCAGCCCTGACCTTCAAACCGTCAGGGCAGAGGCTGGCCTCACCACGGAGAGGGAGGCTCCCACACTCGCCCAGAAAACCAGGGGCGTCCCTGCCTCTCAGATAGGCTAAGGAGGCCCATGGTTACCTGGGATGTGAGGTGGAGAGTGGGGAGAGGCCAGGGGTCCTGAAACGCAGCTAGTCCCTCTCCCTTTCTGAGGGCAGCTGCGCCCTGGCCATGTAGCCTGGCCAGGCCAGTGAGGTCATGCCAGGCATCTGGGCAGGACGGGCAAGGGACTGGCTGGACGTCTCCCTGGACAGTGGCCCCTTCTCTCCTGCGAGGTGACCTGTTAGCGCTGTGAGGAGGAGACAGGACAAACTAGAAGGGCCAGTTTCCACCTTGACCCTTTCCTGGAACCACACCCCTAAGACTGCTTTTCCAGTGTATCAGCTGGACTCTGGATCCCATGGGTGAACACGTGTACCCCAGAGATATCAGCTCTGCCTGGGACACTAGGAAAGGTCATTGAGAGGAAGTGGGTCTTGAGGGATGAATAGGAGTTTTCTGAGTGGGTCTTTCAGCTCATTCCCTTGTTACTGAGATCATGGGACTCTCCCTGGTCATCTCCTACCACCTACAATCTTGGTTTTGGCCACCTGGTACCATTCGGTGTGAAGTTGGGGAAAGCTGACCCCAACACCTGCCCACTGCAGGTCCTGGCCACATAAGGATGCATTAATTATTATCAGTGCTTGCTGTTATACGAACAGAGAGATGCTGTGGTGTAGCCAAGGACACACAGCAATCATAGCAAGCCGAGATTCTTCCATCCCCCTAGGTCCTGCTGCCCGTTGACCCACCGGCCAGCCCCATGCCCTGTTTACCATGAGCTTACAGAGCCTGGCCCTATTACAAGAGGCTTCTACAAATGGCATGAGGCGAGTTAATAATGTATTTATAACACATCGTCGTGGTCGGCGAAAATGATCTATAAATGTGCGGTAAATGTTTTATAATGTTTTTGTAACCCGTTATAAATGATAAATGGCGGACTATAGATGCGGGATCAAATATTTATAACGCATTGTGCACGGCGCTAGGCTGCTACAGTTCGGGCCAAGCCATTAATATAAAGTGGATGGGAATGGGAGTTACCACAGGCGCGCCCAGCAAAGCCATTTGTAATGAAATGGGAAACGGGGCTGGAAGAGGCGGCCCGTGGTCTCCCCCGCTCCGGAGGCCAGCCAGCGTCTCCCGGAGGCCGGCAGGGGCCTCGCACCGTGGGGGGACACGCGCTGTCCCCAGATGGCCGCGGGCGTGTACTATTAAAGACCCAAGCATCAGGCCTAATTAATTAGGAGGTGGCCCTTCCTCTCCAACCTGGGGCCGTAAAAACGGCTGGATGAACCGTTTGCTGACAGTGGACTTGGGGAGCAGGAGGAAGGGCGTCCCTAGATGTCTGACCCCCCCCCATCCAGCCACGGGGTGAGTCGGTGTGGATGCCACCATGCAGCCTGGCCTTGCTTGGAGTTCTCTCCTCACCTCTGACCCTCACCGCCCGGTCTTGGGCCTGAGCCATGCCGGTCTGGTTAGGGAGCGTGAATGGAGATCGGCAGGATCCTCACCCATCCTGCCTGCATTCCGTCCCCCGTGCCCGGTGGCTTCAGGCCCGGGCTGGCTGTGGCCTGAGGTGGGCTCTGCTTCTAGGTTCCCAGCTGTACCCCTGTGCAGGTCGCTGGGCCCTCCCCTTCTTGGGGGACCCTTCACTTTTGGTACAGTTGATCGCAGGTGTTAGTGAGAACACAGGCCAGCCAGGAAGTCCTGCCCCCAACCACAGTGGCCACACCAGGCGGGACACCAGCGGGGCCGGACCCAGTCCCTTCCCCTGTGAGGACTGGTTTCTTGCCTGGTTGATCTGGAACCTCCGTTTCTTCAGCCACAATGAGAGATGGAGGGTAGAGACGGCTGAAGAGGCTGGTGCAGAGCTGTACAATCTCCCTAACTGCCCCCCCTCCACCTGCGCTGCCCATGCACCCCTGCCCCAGGGCTTGTGCACAGCTGCCCCTCCTCTCCCTCTTCTTCCCCCTCTTCCCTCTGGCTCTCCCCCTCCTCTTCCTCCCCTTCCTCTTGCTCTCCTCTTCCCCCTCCTCCCGCTTCTATTTTTTTCATTCATTCAGTCATTTAGTGCCAGTTCTAGGTCTTGAACTCAGAGCCTGGGCACTGGGCTGTAGTATTTTAGCACAAGGTTGACACTCTGCCATTTGAGCCACAGCTCCACTGATGGCTTTTTGGTGGTTAAAGATAAATCTCACGGATTTTTCTGCCCAGGCTGGCTTTGAACTGTGATCCTCAGATCTCAGCCTCCTGAGCAGCTAGGATTATAAGTGTGAGCCACCGGTGCCTGGCCAGGCCTCAGTTCTGGTGTTCCTTCCTTTCTTCTCCTTTTCCTTTTCCTTCTCTCTCTCCGCCCCCCTCCCTTTTTTTTTTTTTTTTTTTTGCCAGTCCTGGGGCTTGAATCCAGGGCCTGGGTGCTGTCCTTGAGTTTCTTTTGCTCAAGGTTAGCACTTGAGCCACAGCACCACTTCTGGCTTTTTCTGTGTATGTGGTACTGAGGAATCGAACCCAGGGCTTCATGCCTGCTAGGCAAGCAGTCTACCATTAAGCCACATTCCCAGCCCCTGGTGTTTCTTTCTTAGGGAAGTCAACCGGTGTTCACACCCTTGTGCCCTGAAGTGCCAGAGTCAGCATCAGGACAGGGCCGCAGCCTGTGGGCCCTAAGCCTTCAGGAGGAAGGGGGCGTGGCAGCCAGCCTTCTGCCTGGCTCCCCCTCCTTTTGGTCCTGCTGAGATTGAACAATGCAGCTAGCAAATGGGGTTCCACCCACTCGCAGAAGCCTGGACGCTGATCCGCACCCATGGCCCCCAGACTGTGGGGATCCAGTCACCCTGCAGACGCTTCCTGCCCTGTCCACACTCAGGCTGGGGAAACAGACAAGAGCCCTGGCCTCCAGAGGTCATTTGAGTGTGTGGGGTGGTGAGCAGAAAGGGAAAGGAAGGCTGGGAAGTTGGGGTTCAGTGTTAGGCAAGGGGTAAGAAAA